TCCATTACACAGTCGAATCGAACGATCAATGTTTCTCAAAAACATGACAAGAGACTCAACATTTAAGTGCAATTCATGATTTAGAACACCAGAATATTTTATACTATTTAAAAATTCCAGCGTGTGCAGGTCATGGAAGAAATCAACACCACCATCGGATTGTATGTTGTATCAGAACTTAAATAAGTATTACCCTCCGATTGATTCAAAGATGACATATATTCACTGATGGAGTCAACAACATCTAATGTTGGATCATATATAGCCCTATCTTTCAAACAGATGGGATCATCAATGCAATATCTAACCATTGGATAAGTGCTTTCCATGATGGTTGCGATGGGGTCAAGCATAACACCAACATTTGATGTGATAACATATTTTCATTGCAAAAATCATATTTCGAAACAAAAGTTTAAGTGTTGAAAAAAGACATGAAAGATTGTAATTATAGACAAAGAAATTAATCAAAATCTTTGAAAAAACTTGGTTTGAATACACCACCAATATTTGATGTGGATATAGTATTTTCATCCAAAAATCACGTCTTGAACTAAAAGTTTATGCATTAAAAAAAAGCCATGTAAAAGAGTAAGTGGAGACCAAAATAGAAAAATTAATCAGCGTCTCCGAAAAAACTTAGTTTCAAGCACAACACCAACATTTGATGTGGATAACATATTTTCATTGCAAAAATCATGTTTTGAAACAAAAGTTGAAGTATAAAAAAGTAAAAATCTATGGAAAATAGTAAATAGACACCAAAATAGAAAAATTAGTCAACGTCTCCAAAAAAAATTGATTTTGAACACAACACCAACATTTGAAGTGGATAACATATTATTTTATCGCAAAAATCATGTTTTGAAACAAAAGGTTAAGTATTAAAAAACCCATGTAAAATAGTAATTAGTGACGAAAAGAGAAAAATAAATCAATGTCTCCGAAAAAACTTGATTTTCAACAAAACACTAACATTCAATGTGGAAAACATATTTTCATCGCAATAATAATGTTTCGACACAAAAATTTATGTATTGAAAAAACCCATGGAAGATAGTAATTAGAGACCAAAATAGAAAAATTACTCAACGTCTTTGAAAAACTTGATTTCGAACACAACACCAACATTCGACATAGATAATATATTTTCATCGCAAAAATCAAGTTTTGAAACAAAAGTTTATGTATTAAAATTAAAACCCATGGAGAATAGTAAGTAAAGATCAAAATAGAATCATCAATCAACATCTCCAAAAAAACTTAGTTACACAATACCACCATTAAATGTGGATAACATATTTTCATCGCAACAATCATGTTTCGAAACAAAAGTTTATGTACATGTATTAAAAAAAACCATGTAAAATACCTATTAGGAACAAAATAAAAAAATTAATCAACGTATCCGAAAAACTTGGTATACACAAAAATCGTGGAATATTAATGTAGATTTCAGTCTTCTTGAACTATGAGAGAACAATATAATGACACATATTTTGAATATGAGATTCATAGCGTGAATTACTCATATTGTGTACTCGAGTATCTTGGTAAGTCAGGGTGTATTTTGTTAAACATTCACCATTAATAATGCTTAATTTTTATTGACATTAATATGATTCATGTATTTTGTTAAACATTCACCAGCAAAATTTTAAAAATAATACACCAAATTAGGCGTTGTCAACAAAAGAGACATTTTGTTCTTATGGAAAAGAAACATTTAGTTGACAATCTGGTCGAAAACGATACATTAATCACTCAACCTGGATAAAAAAGCTGACGTGGTCAGGTTAGATAATGACGTGACATTATAAATTTTCTTAATTTTCTACGTGGTATATACGTGGCGTGATGTGTCATTCTCTCCAAGTACACAACTACACATAGATAAATAAAAATAAAAATAATCCAAAAATAAATAAATAAAAACACTTTGGAAAAAATAAAATAATAATAATAGAAAATAGAAAAAAAACCCAAAAATAAAAAAGTATAAGAAATATATTTCTTATAATTTTGTTAACTATATATTAATAAAATATTTAAAAAATTTATATTTTGTTAATATATATTGAAAAATAAAAAATAATTTGTTTAATATAAATACATTTCACTAATATATATTAAAAAATACTAAAAAAGAAAAAAAATCGTTAATAAGAATAATTATATATAATTTATCATATTATCTAATATATTACTTTACATAATATTTTATTTATTTAATATAAATAAATATAATAAATATAAATATAAACCACATATATAAATTTATATTAAATAAATAAAAAAAAGTTTAAAATATATTTTTTGAAATATATTAAAATATTATTTTTTAATATAAATTTATATTTTGTGATTTATATTCATATTTAATATATTTATATATATATTAAGTAAATAAAATTTTACGTAAATTATTATATTAGATAATATAATAAATTATATATAATTCTTATTATTAACAAATATTTTTAATATATGTTAGTGAACTATATCTATATTTAACGAAATATTAACAATTTTTTTTTTACTATTTTTTTAATATATATTAAAGAAATATAATTTTTTAAATATTTTATTAATATATAGTTAACAAAATATATTTGTTATATTTTTTATTTTTCGATTTTTTATTTTTTATTTTCCTATTTTTATTATTATTTTTATTATTTTTATTTTATTTTTTATCTCCAAATACACAACTGCACATAGATAATATGTTTTCCAAACGGAATGATTTAAGTAAGTTGCCATTGTTATTTTCCATTCTTAAAATTAACCAAAAATAATTGAATATGAATTTAGTATGTTAATGCATTTCCCATTATTATTTGGCATTCTTAACAAAAATAATTAACCTTACAATTAATTACCCAACCAAATGTAGAAATGTTGCCAAATATAATCATTGCATATCATCTATATTTAGC